TACGACTACGACTACGACTACGACACCTACTACTACTGCTACTGCTACTGCTACTGCTACTGCTACTGCTGCTACTACTACTACTACTACGACGACTACTACTAGTAGCAATAATGATACCGTTATTGATAAGACGACGAGTAATGATAACAGTAATAATGAGGACCATGATATAATGCTGATAATAATAATAGAAATCACAAGACTAATCAAAAGGGCAGTAATGTCAAATATCCACATAAAGATATAAAAAGCAATATTTGGCAAAGAAGAAGACCAACAACAATACTAATAATACCATGAGGACGAATAATAAGAATAATCGAATACCCATGAGAACAATAGTAAGAAGACGGAAGACGGATAATCAAACTACTGAAAAGACGGAGACGGATAACAAGAAGAAGACGACCAATAAAGAGATTTCAAATAACACCACCATAAGGCTAAGAACAGGATTAACACAGATAGCATAACAATAATAAGACTACAAAGAAGGATAAGAGTAATGATACGAATAAGAGAAGCAGGAACCATGCAAATGCTAACCGTAAAAAGAAGACGAAGACACTTAAGTCGACGAAGACGACCAAGACGACGAAGGCGAGAACAACGACGAAGACGACAAACGACGAGGACGAGTACGAAGACGACGACGACGACGACGACGACGCCGACGACGACGACCGCGACCATGACCACGACCACAACCACGACCACCACGACGACGACGACGAGGACGACGAACAACAACAACGACAGCAACAGCAGCAGCAACAGCAATAACAACAACAACGGCAAGAGCAACAGCAACAGCAAGAGCAAGATCAGCAGCTGCAACAACAACAGCTACAACAGCTACAGTTACTACTACTGCTTCTGCTGCTGCTCCTACTACTACTGCTACTACTACTACTACTACTACTACTACTACTACTACTACTACTACTGCTACTGCTGCTGCTACGACGACGACTGCGACGCGTGCGATCGCTACCAGCATTCCTGTTCCCACTCTAGGCG